TTTTGCTTACGAGTTACGTGGACATATAATTATTGCTGTTACATAAACGTTCCAGTTTTTAAGGGCTATAGCCAATAAAAATTGCGTGCTCATTATAATCGCCGATCACATAGCTTTATCACTGTCTAAAACCTTCGGACAATCTTACATCCGCATTCCCCCCCCCCCTTCGGACATCCTAAGACATTTTTCCTCACTCCCCCTTCGGACAGCATGGGGGGTATGGATCTTTTCTGGAACAACCCATTGACCGAAAGTGCCTAAATTTCCCATGAATTTGCCCTTGGTAACTTGTGCGTTTCAACGATCAAACTGCGAGGTAAAACTTCCTGTCTCTAAGCTGTGCTTCAATAGCTGTAATGTTTACAAAATAGCGAGTTTTGAAGCAAAAATTAATTTTGAAATTGGGAAAGCCAATAGCCAATTCCAGCTTTTAGTTTATGCGTGCAGGGGACGATGGGAAATAAGGTATCACATTGCTGATTATGCTGAAAAAATAAAAATGGTGGCCGTGTAAACACGTAGTGATAGCTTATACTTGTAAATATTGAAATATTTCGGTTGTTTTTATTGAAATTTTTCAGCATAATCAGCACTATGATACCTTACTTCCCATCATCCCCTGCAGGCATAAACTAAAAGCTGGAATTGCCTATTGAGTGCAATGTAAACAATTTCTAGCACAGCAAGCAGGATAAAATCTCATAAACGCAAGCAAAATTCATCCTGCTTACCGGGCTATCTCGTTTAGCGGGCCAGCCCTGCTAAGGCATGCTTCCATATAAACAGCCCCGTAGAAATGTTTCTTAAAATATTTGTAAATTTTCCCCCCCGACCTTTCTAACTCTCAAATAGTTCATTACACATTTATTGGTTAGGGAAGGGGTTGGGGTCTGTTTATCCATACCTTATCTTAAATATTCCGACTACAGTAGTCAGTACAAATAGCAAAACCAAACTAGGCCACAGAATAAAGAAGATAGAGCAGAAGCGTAACTCTAGTCGTTTCCCTTATTGTTTTACGTCCACGAAAATTTTAACTCGCTCACGCCAATCCACGCCATCCTGGCTAGTACAGCCAGAAGTTTTTATCAGGTTTTGGTCAGTGAACTCATATATATATATATATATATATATATATATATATATATATATATATATATATATATATATATATATATATATATATATATATATATATATATATATATATATATATATATATATATAATATATACAGGGTGTATCAAAATAACCGCAATTCATCTTTTGTGCTTAATAACTTTCGAAATATTATTTCTAGTTAAACGCTTTTAGGCTTACTTCAAAGCCTGTTCTTTTCTCTTTCAAACAAACTATTATCCTTGTCTCCAATGCTAGTAATAATTGCACAGGAAAAGATTTAGTAAAACCTATAATTTTTAGTTGCTGTTTAATTATGCAAGTTTACTATGTTATTGTTTAGTTGGTTTAAATGTTAGAATTTTCTTCTTTAAACTTTAATGTTGTCGTCACTACATCTGGAAAACCACGTAAGAACAAATTAAAAGTATTTTAAAAGAGACCAGGTTATTTGAAAATCCTAAACGAATGCTAAAAATCGTCAAAACATTCTGGTGTCTGAGCCAGAGTATCATCGAATTGCGATGTAATGTAAACAGAAATTATAGCAAGTTGATGTCAGTCAGCTTAGATGGTCCAAGCCAAAATTATATCGCATTTGAAGTTTAAAACTGAGTTAAAAATAGTGGAAGAAAAGCCGTAATTATATTTATTGTTACAATCCATTTAATAAAATGCAACATTTTTTTGTTTTAATGAAAAAATCAGTTATTTTGATGAGAACGATTTGTTATTCCATCTCAATTTTTTTAATCTCCAATCGCAATAACGTAAAGTATTATTAGCCGCGAACCAATGAGTCAAATTTAAGAAACAACCCACTGTTAGAAAGCTGAATGGCTACGCTTAAAAATGAATGTAAACTTTAACGTTTTCGTCTATTATTTGTTTAGCAATTTACATTTCAGTCGAGGATTGCGCTTTTTTTTATACACCCTGTATATATAGTTTGTAAGTTGTGCACGCATGAAAACCACGAGAAATTTGGGCAAGACGATATTCAGGTAAATATCTCACATACTGTTTTTAATTTTGAAACTGTAGAATATATATAATCTTTTGTACAGGCTCTTTGTGCAAAATAATTTTTTGCACCAATTTTCTTGTTATATATATGTGTTGTACGTTGTGCTCTCTGACTTGGTTTATATCAATTTTTCTTGTTTTGATTGTTCATTTGTTTTGCACTAGTGTTAGTTAATATGCAACCATATATATAGTTAAATAAAATATATGACTTTTGGAAGTGCATGTGCTTCCTTCAAACGTTTCGACCAAACTTTAAAAGCGAACACAGCAACAAGGTACCTCTTCGTTTGCAATGACAGCTGAATGATTCACGAGTGTACATATAGGAAACTTGTAATAACTTCGCACAATTTTATGTAAAAATAAATCACTCAATTATCAACAATATATATATTTTATTGATTAAAACAACGAAACAGTTTGTGAAAATTCTTGAGAAAATGTTTGCCAAAAGAGGCAAAATATTCTGCCATATGCATTTAATGTTTGCTCTCTGGGAAATGGTTAGTTTTTCCGAGAGTCTTAGGGGAAACAAGACTAACTGTTACCCGAGACGAATGAAAATTCAACAACATTCATACAACAATTGTATTTCATAACAAAAAATCTCTGTAGTGTAAATGAATTTAAAATTAAAGGAACCTATTGCACAAATCAGCCAGTCACGTTTGGTATTCACCCTACAGTTTCTTTATCTTAATCTTAGACATAGTTATCATAGTTATTTATGCATTCTAAATATTGTATTTCGATATATACAGCAAATTCAGTTAAAGGGGTAGTGTCACGATTCTACTGCGCATCCAAAATATGCGCGAACTTGAAAAACTGTCTGCCAACAATATTTATAATCCCTTCGTTATGCAGGACATCCTTGCTTTGTTTTAAAAATTGTAGGCTGTGCATCTTTTTCTGATGTAGCATTAATTTTAAACGTTTCTTTGCGCCGTTTATTTTAGCCAATCAGCGCCGTGACACTGCCCCTTTAAGGTTGTCCTTTCAAAGTCAAACCCCTGACCTCTAAGCGCGCAAAGCACGATGGATTTGCATACAACTGTAATTCGTGCTTCCGACTTTTGGCACGCGGAACGTTGCTACGTCCCACAAGCCGTTTTTGTTTTGCCTAAAAAGCGATTTATAATTTGCGAATTCCCTTGATTCCCCCTTGTTCGTCTTTTACTCGCCTGTCTAACCGATTCACTAGCAAATCTGGCCAAATTCACGGGATTTTGAACTTTTTAACGTTGAAGAATGTTGTGTGCGAGCATGCTTAACTCCTTTGGCTTGATCGATTAGCACAATACTAGACATGTACTTAATTTACAGGAAAACATAACTAGATAGTGCTAACATACATAAACAATATCATAATAATACATACGTCCACTGTGCTTTTCGCGCTTTGAGGTTGACTGGTCGGCGAAGGTTTTGACTTTCAGAGGACATTGTCAACCTTTTTTCAGAAAATTTTTTCAGTAAATTAAGGACTATACTACTGTAGGATAGCTTAATGTCAACAGTCTCTCATGAAATAAAAATGGGTCTATTCTCTTCGGTAGATCCTTAACAAAATTTGCTTGACGCGAGATGTGCGTAATGCATAGAGCCAAGGATTGATGCAGGAATGAATTTGAATGACAATGTTAAAAATATGGAGCCATTGAATGTAGAATGTAAGATTTCCATGAAAAATATAATAAACACGAAATATAATTGAAGGCAGCCATGTTGCGATGAAAACAGCACAAATATACAAGATTGTTCTGTTCGTTTTGGCACGTTGAATATTACTCTGTCTGGTCATGTGCGCCGAAATTGTATCACTTTGGTTGTGTTGAACTGCCATGATTTGTCGACGCATGTTGCGGTTCTGAGCATGGATAATCATCAAGATCATGATTTGAAGAATTATTGTGAAAAAAAATATAATACTGATTATAATAGGAAATGTTGCAGATTCTGACTGGCCATCATAAAACACCCAGAATACCATGCCAACAGCGGCAGAGGAGATTGCTACTAAACAGCCATACATCTTCACTTCGGTGATGTGGTTTGCGTAGTAAAATGGGAATTTGATTGACAAATATCTGTTGAAGGTGATGAAAAGAAGGCTTAGAGATCCCAAGACCAGAGTGAAATGTGTTGAGACGTGAATAAGATGTGAGTGGAGTGGGGACACGCGAGAACGTGCAAGCATGCGCGGTATTAACACTGGTTGAACAATAACACTTGATAGAAAATCAGAAAAACACAAAGAAGCGACAAGTATGTCCAGATTCTCGAGTTGATGGAATCTTTTTATTTGAACTATCAGGAACATCACAATCCATTGGCGAATACACCCAGGACACCAAGAAGAGCGCTGAACACTGAGGTTATAATTGCAATATCCAAAGGCATTGGGTGATATTCCCATCTATGTACCCAGTATTTTGCCGTAGGATCGACATCGTCCGAACTGCTAGCCATATCTCGACTCAGTACTGTACCTTCAAAATTATATCTATACTCTGACAGTCTTGTTAAATCAGGTTTAGTTATATTTATATAGAGCAGCATTCCCTATAGCTTGTTACGCCAATTGATACCAATTAAAATTTTCATTTCGCATCTCAATCCTTTATTATAATAAATTATAGCTTACCAGAGCAAATCAATTATTTATCGTACACAACTCATTATGCATGGCCAAGCAATTATTTTTTATCTATAACTTTGAAGTTGAAATAAAGGGAAATGAATTTATAAAATTCAATTCCCAAAATTGAGTGCTTTGCCTATATTTTATTCATTTCGTAGAATGAATGCATGGATAAAAAGCTATTTTCCGTGATTGAATGGAAAGAATAATACAGATTGAAAATTGAAAAATATTAAAAGCTACAGTTTTATATTGTTCTGAAACAAACTGCAGAGACAGAATATAACGAAAAATTCGTTGTCTCGATCGAGCGAGATTCGAGGGGTTCTATAGACCGCGAGGGTCTACCCATTGGGCTGTCGAGTCAACGGGGATTGAGAGTGAATCTTATCCAATTTAAGGCATGCACGAAATATTTTCGCAACGCTGACTTAAAGCTTGTCTTAGAGGACGCGCAATGTTTCAATTCTCTTTCAGAACCAACCTCAGAGATACGAAAAACTAGTTTCATGTAGAGTTCGAATCCCGCTCGAAACAACGAATTTTTTATTGTACTCTGCAGTGTCAAAATAAGTGAAACTAGGTTTTCGTATCTCTGAGGAAGGTTCTTAAATTAGAAGCTACAGAAGCTCCAAACATCAATTAAGTAAAAGTGTTTTTTTCTGCCAGACAGAAAATCGAGTTATAATTGAAGAGTTATCGCATAATTGAAAATTGAAGAATCTTTCTGTAGAAGCTGAGATTGTTTTAAATTGTTCCATACGTTAATAAAATAAAATGTTTTTTCTGCCGAAGAGAAAATTGATTTCATACCCGACAAACAAATGAATATTTAAAATAATTTGTTTTCAGGCGACAACGTTAAGAAATACATTATGAAACATACTTCGAATAATATAGCCTAGTATCTAGCTTAATTGTGCTCTCAAGATTTGAGGTATCTACATCTAGAATACATGATCATTTGACAACGATTTTGAAATAAAATCTTGTATTCTTGTATAGATGCCTCAAATCTCACTGCAGCGCATGTAAGCTAGCTAGATGCTCATTTTTATTCGCAGTTGATGTTTCGTACATGATATAAATTCATTCATTTAGATTGATATCAGTTTAGGTCAACACACGAGCCAGGTGGTTTTTGCTATGAAGATATAGTTCAATCAATACAGGCAAAAAGAGCATCCTTGGCATTTGCAAGTACCGCATATATAATTATATTGTATATTTGTATTGAAGCATATAGAACTCGCCCTCACACTGCATCGGCATATTTGCCGTAGAACTTTAGATCTAGAATATATATAGATTTAGCAGATACTCGGGTGCTGGATATTGCTTTTCACGCAATTTGATTGGTCGATCAGCTCTATATTGCATGCACTATTCACCTCCGGACAAAAACAACATGGCTTCCCGTTTCGTTCGGGTTACTTACAGACGAACAATTTTTCATTAGGCGACGCTACGGTTTCGCCAAACACATTGTGGCTACAATGTTTTGTTAAGTGTAGGCCGATATTTTTTAAAGCTATTTCTAATGAATAAAAATGATTAACTGAAATTACCGGAAAGTTTGTATAGATATTGTTTTGTTTACAACTATATATAAATACAAATTGTTTTAATTAAACAGTTTCGTTGTTTTTTTGTCATTCTTGTTTTGTTGTGGTATATGCTAAAACAATTATATCCTTGCTAGTGACTATTCACCTCCACTTTGGTGAATAATTATTAAATATACTGCTATAGCTGATTGAAACTGCACGAAAGCAATAGCTAGCTCCTTGGCATTTGTATTCTCCTGCATACAGGTGTATAAAAAAAACGCGACCTCGGAATTCCTAAGAAATCACTTTGCAATTCTTAAGCATAAAAGATTTTAGGCCCCTGCGAATTGAAATCGAATTGCTAATAGATCATATTACTGTTGTTGTGCATTAAATAAATGATAAATTTTGCTTTATGCACTCGCGTGTGCAGTAATTTTGACAGTTGTGCTATTTTAAATTCCCAGGCGCCTAAAATTTTTTGTCTTTAATTAAAACAATGTCGACTTCTTGGGAAATTCCGAGGTCGCGTTTTTTTTATACACCCTGTAGAGAACATATTTAATAAAAATAAGAAAGATAAGAAAGACATATTCCTGATATATAAGGGGCCTTTGTAGAGCAAAAAACGCAAATTACAAACAAATAGTATTACGTATAGCAACAGTAGTTGGGTTATGTATAGAGTGGGTATATGATTTTGGATGTGTTATAATTTATGATACTGATAGCCTATATAAAGATATAACTCATTAGAGCGAGTCACTTTTAAATGGAAACAAAGAAAAATTACTTTACCACTATAAACTTTATAAATATCTCTTAATTTAAAATGCATGGTCAAAATCTTAACAACTTTTAATTTCTTGATTCAAAAGAAGGAATAATAATTATACATTGCTGAAAATTGAACAATCTTCCTGCAGAAGCAATAAATTGTTTTTATATATTATTATAGGCAATATTTATGGTAATTGCCCCAATTATTTTTTTGCAGAAATAATCTACAGTATAGGGGCATAATCTATGAGGGTTTTGCCCAACTTTACAAGTTACAAAAAATAAAGTACATTAAATGAATTTAAAATACCCAATCTAATATGACAAATATGGACAAGAGAAACACATAGAGTGGGCAGATGTTTCGTCGTTATGTTTTTTTACTGCCGGGAGAGAGAAAATTAGAGTTATCAGATCAACTATCGTCAGACACACAAATAAACGCGCAGATGTAAATCAAAGGTTAAGGACAAATTTATTTTACTTCGCAGATTGATTTTTACGCCTACTATGCCCCCAGATGGTTTTTGTTCTGAATATATATACAGCTCAATTAATTGATGGCAACACGAGATCTTTTTTTACAATCACGCCAAACGCGGCCGTAATCACTTAATGTGTAGTGCCACCGCCCACGGAACAATTTGTGCTGACAATTCGCAATTCGGATGACGTTATACGAAATTTGATCGGCTCGGCAGCAATTTGCATTGTAACATTGTTGTTAAAAATTGCCCCGTGGGACATCGCATTAACAATTTATCCGCGTGGAAAAGGTATATTAATATGAGCATGCAATTCACGACAGCACATATTATTTTATTATTGCATGTGCACAATGCTACATATACTACGTTACTACAACCAGAAATCCATCTATATCGTAGAATTCTAGAAATATTTTCCCTTCTCCACGTGCAATAGGAGATTGTATGGGATAATCTGGCTTGGCGTGCTTTCCCAAATTTTCCGTAATTTCGCTGGTTTCCACCAAGTTACCTGCGGAGGTTTAGTTTTTATAGTTTAATTTAATGAATTTGACACATTACACTGCATTACAATACTTGACACAAAAAGTACTGCAGAAAACGAAAGCAAAAACAGTTACGATTTGTGACAGGGGTTTGAAAACAGAACTCATGTCCCAATTGATATCAAACGCTAAAAGGTCAAGGAATTTTATGTCGAGTTCAAAATAATTCAGTTTTCAATATATTCAAACATGCATGGTTACTAGATCTACATTTCAGTCGCAATGCCTGTGCGCGGGCTAGGACGGCATTGGCTCTGGGGAAATTGAATTTTTCCTGTGCTGTGATTGGTTTAACGTTTATCAATCGTACATGCCGACAAAGAACCGGAACCCCTAAATTTAGGGGTTCCGGTTGTCAATTTCCCCAGAGCCAATGCCATCCTAGCCCGCGCACAGGCATTGCTCTGCGTACGAGATTGGTACAGAATCGACTTTCGCCCTATGCTCGCAATGCATTACATCGATACGTCATCAATATGTCATCAAATGTGCCTTTTCCTGACATATACCTTCCTCTGGTCCTGACAATGCTTCTACTGATCAAAAATCAGTAGATGCAAAAATGAAGTGAATGCGCTAATTTAAGCTGTAGTAATAGATACTATATTTTGCCAATTTTAAGCTCCTTACTTTACCTCAGAAAACGGCTTGAAAATTTGCTCTGCTCGCTTAAATCTCTTCTATACACTTTTTTGCGAACTTTCTAATGGTATACTTTATTTTTTAAAAGAGTAAACTAATGTCTTGAAATACTCAGGCAAATTTTAAACTATAAAGCGAAAATCAGAGGTGACAACATAGCATAATAAAATGCCAATTGGGGGCTTGTAACAAAAAATGGCATCAGTGCGATACCGATCGTCTAATGTAACTCGTCCTTCAGACTGCAATTTTGATCGTATTCGAAACTCTCTCGTGCATACTTTTTCGAAATTGCGCAAGAAACCACACAGTTGCCGAATCAGTACCTATACAAATTTAATTGAGTGCAATGTTAACTTATTGATCATGAATTTTATAAAATGCAATTTGCAAGAACCGTCTTTTATTGCCGATACTAATTGGCGGCGCACTCGTTTTCGGGTGATTGGAGCTATGGAAGAAACTGTTATTCCTATCTCCGTCGACTATCACAAAATGAAAGTAATACCTACGGACGGGTACCTTACAGAACCATGTGACGTTGACTATCTGCATTTACATGCAGGTGAGCGTTACGACTTTATTTTGTGGCAACGTTCCGATATTGAAAGAAGCGAAAGTGTTTTTCCAATTCGAATCGAGGCCATTGCAGTGTACTGTAAAAACCATTATCAACCTGAACGTGTTGGCATTGCGTACCTGAAACACTCCCAATATGCATCCCAGAGCCAATTTAAAAATGGTCGTTGTTTTGAAAGCTGCATATCATTGAATTGCCTTAGGTTTAAGTTTCCGAACACACCTTTTGCAGTGAAAAGCAACACTCGAGCAGAAGGTGAATGTCCTTATAGCACGATTGAGAACTGTAACACACCATGCCCTCATTCAGTTAACATCACGCATGGAGACAATTCGAAAACAGTGAAATTTGTGCTCTCCTCAGTTTGGGGTGGCCCAAGAAAACCTATGGATGACATAATCACAAAGCTCTTAACACATCCTATTCAAATGCATGGTCATTCATTCTGGGTGACAATAATTGCCTACCTAACATATTCCAACGGACCAAGGAACAAAATGACGATGATGAGGAACAAAATGACGATGTAAATGTGCCAAGATGTGGACATGCATGGAGAACGGAAAAACGATAGAATGTGGTCAGAAATTAATGTTAACGACAGAACAATCCGTAAAGAGACTATTATCGTTCCCGCTGGTGGTTAGGTTGTCGTTGAAATCAAGGAGGAGGAAATCCTGGATCTTGGCTTATGCATTGCCATATTGACCATCATCTAGAGGAAGCAATGGGAATTGTCATCGCGAGATGACTGAATGCGAGTTTCGTTCTTCAATTTCCAGAATAGATTTTACTAACAAACTCAATCTCGGCTGTAGGTGTGCGAGATGTATCTAATTGTTAAACATTTTATACTACAGGGTGTCTCAAAAAAACCCAAAATCATTGAAATTGACGTATTGTTCGATATTCAATGCCCTAGCACTAAGTTAATCCCACGAGTGCATAAAAGATTGACATAACTGCTATAATGAATGGTAATACTCAGCGTAAACTTGTTATGTCAGGCATAAAGTACTAAACCCACGAATGCATATTACGCATATTACAATTTACGAAGCATTTTTAAATTCCCATGAGCAAACAAACGTTCACTTTACAAAGATATTTTAATTTTTAAAACAAATTAATCACCCTGTCAAAATCCTTTGTGTTACGGCATTGAAATTCGAACAATACGTTATTTCAATGATTTTGGTTTTTTTTGAGACACCCTGTACAGGGTGTCCCAAAAAACCCGAAAACTATTGAAATCACCAATAACAATTTAATTGTTAGAACTTGAATGCCTTAGCGCTCTGTTGGTTCCCACGAGTGCATAAATGATTGACATAAGTAAATTATAAACTGTTTAAGAAGCTGTTTTTAATTCCCAGGAGCAGAAAATCGCGCACTTTACTAGGAGATATTCCTAACTAAATTCTAATACATGCACTTTGTCAATATTTTACGCATCATTGCGTCCAGCTGTTTGGTGGGGCATTCAAATTTAACAATAAGTGATTTCAATAGTTTTCGGTTTTTTTGGGACACCCTGTACAGTAGTTTCTCCATTAGTTCTAATTATGTAAATAGGTTTCTCATTTACTTTGTTTTAAATTTGTACATCGGTAGTCACGCATCGAGTAAATAGTCGAGCATTTTTAACATGAGCCTATGGCTCATTACTATTACTATTATTACCACGCAACTTCCCACGTGCTCGACAACTCGATTGGGCAGGCCAAACATGAAATATTCTCAATTTTAGAGTGTGTAAAAATTCGTTTGAAAATGCCAAATTTATGAACTATACACCGGAATGTTTTTGAAAACCACATCGAACCACCGTATGGAAACCGAAAACCAGTAATACGGATCCGAGTCCCTCATCTATTCCAAAAGAAATGTGCTGTGTTGCTTTATCCTTGCACCTAAATGAATTTTTTCTGCCACTTACAACATTGAATGGTGCATGGAATTGAGGAGGCTTGTTCCGCGAGTCCCTGTTTCGCTGATCGCACGAGGGAAGGTGGTTTATAGTTCTCAAGATAAAAGCCGGAGGTATAAGCAAACACAATAGAATTCCTAATAAAGTTCTGTTAAAACTGAACAAAAAATCCTGAACTGAATATAAATATGAATAAACTACTTCTGAACAGAACAAAATTACACAAAACTGAATAAAACTGAACAGACTACAAATCTGAAAGATTTTTAAATTAAAGGTATTAAAATTATTACCTTTGAAATGGAAACATTAAACGAATTATATTTCGTGAACTCCGGTTGAAATATATGAGAATACAAGTGGTATGACTTCGTCTTTACCGTGCTTTGGACCACATTTTAACCCTGAAACCCCTGAAAGTAAAAATATACAGCCTGCGTATCACCATAGCAACGCATTCCTTTAATAAGCCTGTGACTTTTTACCTTGTGCTTCGGACACGACCAGGTAAGTTTTTTAGCTCTGTATTCTTTGCATTTTTCTATCACTTTTTTAGGCTGAAAGTTGCCACCCCACCTCGTCTTACTACCTAACCTCTCTGCAGGTCAAAAATGTCTTCTCGTCACCGTCATAAACGGTCCCGGGCAAGAGATTCTCATCGGGAAGCGTCGCCTCCCAAGAAGAAAAAATCCGCGGAAAAGCAAGACAAGTTAGACGCCATTCTCGCGTCCCTAATCGAATTAAAGTCGGATATTACGGCTTGTAACTCGAGAATCTCAGACATGGAAGTCAAAAATGCACTTTACGAAGCTGCCTTTAGTCCCCTAAACCGGTTTACCGACCACGAGGAAAATAGTATTGACGACCAACTGTCAGTTATGGCGGGAAACGATCTTAGTTCTCTGGATGGTATAAACGGGGAAACACAATCCCTTAATCCAGCTATTAAGCCACCAGATATGGTTATTAAACCACCAGATATGGCTATTTTAATAGCCACCAAGTACGGCTATTAAGCCGACAGAGAATTCCTCACAGTTAAACGAGCGAGCTGAACTCGAACATCCGGGTGCGGTGCTGTTTGACTCAGAAATACAAGCTAGTTCGTGGTCGCCTTCGATTCACAGGTATTTCATAGTTTCCTTGAGTAACAGTTTCGTAGAAACCTTTCATACGATCAAGTTTGGGATATTTTAGAAGAGCAGGCAAAACCTGCAGTCGATGCCCTTGTCGCTCCTACCCTTGATCTTAGCGTGATCAATCAAATTCCACATCAAAACAAGAAATTTGTTCAGGAGCGCGATAAGGAACTGAGCGTTATTGAGTCAACGCGCTATACTAAACGTTACGGGTCCCCTATGTTCGCTTCATGACCGACTTGAGAATAACAATACAATCAATTCGTCAGATTTAAAACTTGTGATTGAACAGACCCTTTGTCTTTTAGACTCCGCAAACACACAGCTGTCAATTTTACACCGGAAGAAAGCCCCGGCTTCTGTAAACAAATCAAAAATAGATTTGGCTAATCAGCCTTTGCCTAATGCCAAAATTAAAAATGGCTATTTGGGGAAGATTTCCCAATGATTGCTTCTAAAGAAGCTGATCTAGCTAGGGGTTTAGCAAAGAATTTGGGCCAAAACGCTTCAAAACATTACACAAGACCTGTGGATTTCAAACCAGGTATGGGCAGTAATACACAGCCGAACTATAATAAATATCAAAGCAATCGAGGCAAAAATAAGTTTTTTCGGTCCCCCCGCTTACTACCGCAGCAAAACTCCCTCTTTATCTCAAACAATGGGAAACACTAAACGTCAGATCCAGAGGTTCCAGGTATTGTGAAGGGTTTCAATATTCCCTTTCATCAAGAACCTCGCCAGATGTCTCAAACAATAACACCTCGAGAGGTGGAATCAATCTTGGATCATGAGGTACAAACTCTCCTACAAAAGGCGGCAATCTGTCAGACGACACGTTCAAAGGACGGCTATTACAGTCGAATTTTTCTAGTTCCGAAGATTCCAAAACCACGAGTATATACACCCACAGTGACTTAGTGAGTAAATTACTGAAATGTATGAGCAAATTTACTCATTGTTTTGGGTAAAGTAAGTCTTTACTCAAGAAATTGAGTAAATTTGAAACTACTCAAAATGTCATTGACCGATACTGTCATGGCGGTGTGTGTCGAAAACTTTATGTTAAACTTTATGAAAACTTTATGTTAAAACGAAATGGACCTCGCCTGGTGGTGGAACTAAGTTATGTGAAACTGAGAATTTGGCTATACGATGGTACTCTACAACGGGATCGATAACTTTAAAAGGGGAAAGAGCTAGTGATGTAAAGAATAAACTTATATCAATCGCCGAAAATGAGAAGGAATTAAGCAAGTCAAAAGTCGAGTCAACGTGCAATTGCTCACAATTTGCATACATCTTCGATCGATCTTACAACACCCTCTCCCATGGGACGAAACGAGGAAAGCGTTCATTCAAGCGGTCAATCAATCAATTCACCGTTTGACGAGTTCAAAGTTACTATGGAGAGTTTTGTTATTTCAACCTCTACCAAATTTGACGCGTTAACATCAGAAATTGCGAACCTCAAACAACTAATTACCGCCCGACCAATGTATTGCATCTCTTCAGGCTGAAATCGTTAACCTGAAGACCGAGAACAACGATCTTCGCGAAAGAAATACGAACATATCTTATATCATGTCCGATTTACGCACGAAAAGTAAGGACGTTGAAAATGAAAAAAGAAGTCTTATTACTGCTCTTACTGTTACAAGCTGATTCTAACTCTGACTTGGAAAAGCGTTGCCAAGATGAATCTGGATTAGGCGACGAAACCATCCAAGCAAATCCGCCATCTTCTGATCAACCACCCAACCAGCCAGCCAATAAAGAGAATCGCCGTAAAAAGAGGAAGAGTAAGAAATCTAAACAAAATGTGCCAGATTTAACTGCTGATCATTCTACGGACGTGGCTGCTGCTCCCTCTGAGGTCGCTGTTTCTGCCACATCTGAGACCGCCACTTCTGCCACCTCTGAGGCCACCGTTGGTCCAGATAGACCAGACTCGATGAGACATCGCAAGAAAACTGTTGTCATCGCGGGTGATTCTATTGTTAAGAATATTGTTCGTGCAAAAATGAGTGGTAATGATTCTAAGCATTATTTCATCGTGAAACCATTTCCAGGAGCCACAATATCAGACATGGAGGATTTCATTAAACCACTGTCGAGGAGGTCGCCCGACAAGATGGTTCTACATGTGGGGACGAATGATCTAAGGAGCTGTACGACGAGAGTTATCGCTGACTCAATTGTTAATCTTGTTACTCAAGTGAAAGAGGACTCGCCAAACACAACAATTGGTGTTTCTGCTATTGTAGTAATTAAGAAATGACAATGACGATCTTGCTTTCAAAGCATTGCAGGCTAATATTATACTTAAGGAGTATATTGTCTACGTAATGAAATACCCTTTTTAAATAATTCAAACATCAATGCAAAGCACTTGAACTATAAAGGACTTCACCTGAACAAAGAAGGAACTTCGGTTTTGCAACAAAACTTATTAGGGTTTGTAAATACTATTTCTGATTGACTGAATCCTGATACTAGTATTAAGCCTGTCTTTCCTAATTTGCGGGGGTTTAAGATGGCAGCACTTAATTTAATGTGAGAAGTCTAATTGGCCACATTGATGAACTGCGGGTTTTGCTTGCCACTAACCCGATTGATGTTTTAGCTATAAATGAGTCTTGGCTTGATGCTAGTATACACGATAATGAGATACACATTTCTGACTATGAAATCGTACGGCGTGACAGGTCTATGTGTAGTGATAATGGGAAAACACAGCCTAGTCCCAGGCTCTCTCTCTATTCGCTGCTTTGATATATTTAAATAAGTCTTAAAAGTTTTAAAAGCGAGAGAGCCTAGCAGATTTCGGTAAAATGGTCCCTGATTTCAAAAAAGTGGTCCCTGGCCTGGTTACCAAGCATACCTCATTTGTAAATGGAAAA